AATATTTCTGCTAATTAAATACAAATATGGATTAGTTAAAAGTAGATAATATAATATAATGGTGCACCTAATGGCACACCATGCACCAAAAAGTTTTAGTGGTGCACCAGTAGCACGCCATTAGATTATAACTGCACCAGCAACCCTAGCTTCGATATAGTTTTATACATTTGATTTCTAAGTGTTAACGATTTTTATTTTTTCGAGTCGAATTTTTTGCCGGGTAGATAGACTGATAATTACTGATCGCCAAAGACTGTAGCGAAAGGTCAACGAAAGAATTTGCCGATCATTTATACATGAGGCTTGTACAGATATAGGGGATGGCTAAAGCCATGTACCCACGTGATTTTAATGTTTTAATCGTTTAAATTAAAATAAAAGTTAGGATTAGGGTAAGTAATGTCCTCCATACCTGTTAATACGAATGATTTTAGTACAATTTTACCTAGAGAATATTAACAATACTAACAATATTTATAATATTAACAATATTAACAATGCTTACGATTCACCAGCAATATGGAAATCTAAATTAGCATATTGACAAAACTCTTGGAAAAAGATTTGTAAAAATGCGTATACATCATATGCAGCAGTGAAAGTATCAGATACATTTTCACCACCATAAGAATATCCTACATTAACTGGCTATAAAGATAATTTTATATTGTAGTTTATATTATTGATAATTACGCAAAGTACATCGCATTAAAAATAACAAGAATATTCTTTTCATACTTGATCCAAGAAAATAATATTAGAGTTGCTATTCCATGAGTAAGGATTAAAAGCTGTGTCATTTCCTCCTGGGTTAACAGTGCAAGGACCAAGTTCAAAGTATAAACCTCTTAAAGAAGATTGCCTATTATATGTAATTAAAAATGTAAGTAATGATAAAATAACAATTTTGGATCTGCATCATAATCTTTTTCATCAATGTCTTTGCATTGACGCCTCATATCTACGCCATGTTTTATTAATCTATAGTTATTTTCATAAATTCTGGGACACCTGTTAAAAATTAGCCAAATGATTTTTCGGTTGATTCAGTTGAGTTATTGATTTCGGCATGATCGATGTATGTAATACATGTTCTACAGATAATTTTTATTACTAATGTCGACGCGTTCAACATTATTAATTTTTAATTTGAATATTTGCCCAAAATGCTTGATGTGTTTAGTTTATACGATAAGAAATATAAAAAAGGTTCCGGATATAAATTAGACTTATCATGAACATATTACTTGAATAGACTCTAATATTAAAAAACTTTGATATAATCAAAAATGTGTCGACTGATTCGAAATGTGACTCAAGTTTCCAAGAATTCAAAATTTTAACATTTGTCGATAAATCCGTATCTTTGAAAGTAAAACTCGACTTGTAGAAAATCTGCTAATACTTAGTGTTTAGCAATTTTCGAAATAATAAATTTTTTCCGGAAAAATTGCTTTGAAAGGATAATCTCTGTATTCAACCAGAGTACTAGTCTTATAGTATTTATATTAACACCGGATCTTAAATTAGAATTAATTATGCCAAAATCACAAACTTAATCGAATCGGCCAAAAAAAATCATTCGGCAAATTTTTATCAAGTGCCCCAGAATTTATGAAAACAGTTGTAATACAGGCTAGGGATGCATCGATCCGGTCCGCTGTTCTGGTTTTTATGAAGACTGATTTATGGCTGTTTTTATAAATTCTGGAACAACTGAAAATTTTCCCGATGACCCAAATCAATAAATTACGGAGCTAGAATCAATAAGTCACCTGCGTCGACCGAGATCAAAAACTTATTAATTCTGTCTTTGGTAATTATTTCTTTTGTTCCAAACTATATATGACGGCTGTTTTTATACCGAAATCTTATTGGTTTCGTCTTGTAAATCACCTAACTCTCCAAAGATTATATCGCTACCTCTGAATTGAAGATATAATTTACAGGAAGAGCCAACTTATCCCAGAATTTATAAGAACAGCTGGAAAACAGCTGTAATTAGTATTTCCGATTTTAGTTCGTCCAGTCTAGAAATGCATCATGCCTGATTTCATAGGAATTGTCATGATGTGTAGGATCGATACAACTAGGGATGAATCTACTGCGCAGCCTGCACAGGCCCATATTATGGTAGTTTTCTGCTAATGCAGGCCAGAATTGTTAGTCCGGAATATTCCGAACTTCCAAAAAATTCCGGCTGCGCAGAGATACAAGGTCTAGTTTTGGCGGATATTATAATATAAACTTTTGAGAGCAAAAACATCCTTTATATTGTTTTAACTAAAGCTTTAAAAAAATGGCATACCCTGGTCCACCGTTAAGCTACTTTTAATAAATTTGAAATTTCGATTAATGATTAACAAATGAATATACTATATGTTACTGCATTTACATACCCAAAGAACGATCGGATCTTCTTGAGGTTTACTTCTTGATTCGAAAAACCAAAAGAATAAATGTTTAGTGCTTTTAATATCAATATACCCGGAATACTAATATTTAAAATATTAAATAATAATTAAAGATTTATTATTCTAAATAAGTTAAAAGATTCATTATTTTAATTAAATAGATAAATCATAAATAAACCTGTTGTACAGTTTCATCACAAAGATTTGGTTCTTTTAATTTAACTTTGTACTCAGGAAAGTTACTACGTTTTAATATTTTTGTCCATTGAGATGAAGCTAAATGACACAATAACAATACATTAAGAACAAAGCATATAACTCCAAATTTAAAATGCATCAAAATAATCATTTTATAAAATTGGTTTATTAAAAAGAATGCGTCCTTTTATAAAGTATGTTTACCACATTAGCTGATACTTATTTATAATGAAATACTCAGCTATACAATCCAATTACCAGCCGTTACGAGTGTGCCCATTTTAATTATCTGATTTGATAAAAACTTAACCTTAATCAATAACAAAATAGTGTATAATGTATGAGTAATCATATGTTGAGCCCAAATAAGTCATAATACAGTAATTTAGTAATTATGTCATAATTGCATAGCGATAACCCGATTTATCAAATCACCTGAATATCGTACTTGTAACGACCAATCAAGAACGTTCAAATAGCTTCTCGCTTAAATTTCTTCGGTTCCGATCAATTCACCGGCAATCACTTCACCGACAGCCCATTTAGCAGGTGAAAGTTAGTAAAAATATATACCCGCAACTAATCAAA